TCTCTTTCAAGAATTCCACTCCTAGCTCAACGGTGACTTCCGGAATCCTTACGTCTGGTAATCCATCAGGCCCACCGGACCATTCTTTTGAAAGCGCAATGGCATTGTTGCTGTTCACGCCGCCTCCATTCAATGTTGCCGCTGTAGCCGCGCCTCCTGGTCCAGGCCCTGTCGTTGTTGTAGTGGTCGTAGGCGTGCTCGTACCATTCGTCTTCACATCTTTACTCTCCTTCTCCACGGTTGGGTTCTTGCTATCCTTGGGCATCTTGGCCCGTCGCATGACTTCTGTCATCAACTCCGGGAAAGTATCGCACGTGCCATTCCTGAGTAACTCGAGCGCGAGGGCGCGGACGCGATCTGTCCAGCCAGTCCGGGCAAGACTGTCTGCGAGAAGGGAGCTGAGATCGGGGATTGCGCCGGTTTGGCGTAGGTGCTGAATGAGGGCTTGGGAGGTCGCGGGTGGTAAGGAGGAGGTGGAGCTGGTGAGGGAAGGAGGCACGGGGATTGTGGTCGCCGTTTCAGCTGAAGGCCCAGAGGTCGACATTTTCCTTTCTGCTATGTCAAAGAGAGAAGATTGAGGTACTAGAGTGCGCCGATGTGATTTGAGGCTCTGAATGCGGCTTTGGTGGGGGTGTGGCTTTGATTTTATTATTCGAGATGGAGAAACTTGAAATCCCGGCAAGTATTATGAAAGCAGCCAGTTGCTGTTGTTGGCAGAAGAGTCCTTCAGCGGGCTGTCCAGCAGCGCTAATAGAAAGGAGGGATTGGTGCCGGCTTATAGCGCTCTGGAGGGAGGCTGTAGATTAGAGACGAGAGGCCTGCTTGGTTCTGAGAATCTTTCCGCTCCGCGCTTTTCAATAATCGGAGGGACAAAATGAAAGGGTTGGCGGAGCCGGAATATGGTATGGCTACGAATCAGGGCGGGGATTGCCCCGAACCTATGGTCGACACGCATGCTAGTGCAAGTCTATCGATTGATCATCATGAATGGATTTTTCCCATTATTCGTCATGGGCGGCGAATTTGAATACAGCATTGTGTTCCTGCGGCAAGGCTAGGGTTCAGCCTTGCCACACTCCGAGGTCGACGCTGAAGGAGGGTAGGCAGACGAAACGAAAGTGAAGCCAGGTCCAAAATGAAACGTGGCTTCTCTTACCGTGCTGCCAGCAGGCGCCCGAGCATAGCTATGTGCTTGTTACTGTACCAAGGACCTGTTACCTGTACAAGTACCGGTACCAGTAGAGCCGTCGTGGCAAGGCAATCGTGTTGGGCTGTATGAGAAAGTTCGACCATCTTCTCTTTCGTAGGCTGCCAAAGGCAACGTATGTTTGTCAGGACGTGAATGACCGTCATTTAAACCCGCCAAGACGGGCCTTTCTCCTGCGCTTCAAGTCCTCAAGAGGTTCACTCCTCACTTCCAACAACCCGCTTTGCTCGCTCTCACCTTTTTGTTGCCATCCCTTCTTTCTGCTTCTCAAGTCTCTTCTTATAAGGAGTTTCTTGACATCTACTCATCTTATTTTCCATCGTCCCTAAACTATTGTTGCGACGACCAGCGCTGTTGCCTCTGGTCTCTAGAACCCACATCAACAAACCTCTAACTCTACTTCTCGGACCCTATTCGATCTCCTGAAGACTTCAAGATGTCTGCAGAACCTGATCATCCCCACCACAAGAAGGTCAACCTACAGTATGTGTTACACCCATGACATTCATGAAAGCCGCTGCTAACTACAGCTGCAGTGATGCGTCTGGCGCAGAGAAGAAAGAGGTATGGATTCCATCCGGGAACCTGCCTGGTGACGACTTCAAGACTGACACTCTCCTCCAGGAGCTCGACACAGCGACTGCCATCCTGAAAAAGAAGAAGAAGCCAAACTCGTTGATGTAAGTTGGACAATTTGGGATTTCATGGAAACAAAGGCTGACAAATGACGCAGTGTGACCGATGCCACCAACGATGACAACTCCATCATTGCTCTTTCAAATAACACGATGGAAACTCTACAGCTGTTTAGGGGCGACACTGTCCTGGTGAGAGGAAAGAAACGCAAGGACACCGTCCTGATCGTTCTGGCCGATGACGATCTTGATGATGGGAGTGCTCGCATCAACAGAGTGGTTCGCCACAATCTCAGAGTCAAGCACGGCGATATCATCACTGTTCACCCTTGCCCTGACATCAAATATGTAAGTGCTGTCTCGATTCATGGTTTCCAGCACATTCCTGACTCTCTCCGTAGGCAAAGCGCATTGCTGTTCTTCCCATCGCAGACACCGTCGAGGGCTTGACCGGTTCTCTCTTCGACGTTTTCCTCGCACCCTACTTTCGCGAAGCCTATCGGCCCGTGCGACAAGGAGACCTCTTTACGGTCCGAGCCAGTATGAGACAAGTCGAGTTCAAAGTGGTCGAAGTAGACCCCCCGGAATACGGTATTGTGGCACAAGACACCGTCATTCACTGTGAAGGAGATCCCATCCAGCGTGAGGATGAGGAAGGAAACCTTAATGAGGTCGGTTACGACGATATTGGTGGTTGCAGAAAGCAGATGGCTCAGATCCGCGAGTTGGTTGAATTGCCACTGCGGCATCCACAGCTGTTCAAGTCAATCGGCATCAAACCTCCCCGGGGTATCCTCATGTTCGGACCTCCCGGTACTGGTAAGACACTGATGGCTCGAGCTGTTGCCAACGAAACCGGAGCTTTCTTCTTCCTTATCAACGGTCCCGAAATCATGTCCAAGATGGCCGGTGAATCAGAATCCAACCTCCGAAAGGCTTTCGAGGAAGCCGAGAAGAACTCTCCCGCCATTATTTTCATTGACGAAATCGATTCTATTGCCCCGAAGCGAGAGAAGACCAACGGCGAGGTCGAGCGACGTGTTGTCTCTCAACTACTAACGCTTATGGATGGCATGAAAGCCCGGTCCAATGTCGTTGTCATGGCCGCCACTAACCGACCTAACTCGATTGATCCTGCCCTTCGACGTTTCGGTCGTTTCGATCGAGAAGTCGACATCGGCATTCCCGACCCGACTGGCCGTCTGGAGATTCTTCAAATTCACACCAAGAACATGAAATTGGCTGAGGATGTCGATCTGGAGTCGATCGCCGCCGAGACTCACGGTTATGTCGGTTCTGATATAGCGTCGCTCTGCTCTGAGGCCGCCATGCAGCAGATTCGCGAGAAGATGGACCTCATCGACCTGGACGAGGACACTATCGATGCCGAGGTGTTGGACTCTCTCGGCGTGACCATGGATAACTTCCGGTACGCTCTTGGTGTCTCCAATCCCTCTGCTCTTCGCGAGGTGGCCGTGGTCGAAGTCCCCAATGTTCGCTGGGACGACATTGGCGGTCTCGAAAATGTCAAGCGTGAACTTATCGAATCCGTGCAATACCCTGTCGACCATCCCGAGAAATTCCTCAAATTCGGCCTTTCACCATCTCGAGGAGTTTTGTTCTATGGCCCTCCCGGTACTGGTAAGACTATGCTTGCCAAAGCTGTGGCCAATGAATGTGCGGCAAATTTCATCTCCGTCAAGGGTCCTGAGCTGCTGAGTATGTGGTTCGGTGAGTCCGAAAGCAACATCCGAGACATTTTCGACAAGGCACGTGCCGCAGCACCTTGCGTTGTCTTCCTCGACGAACTTGATTCCATCGCCAAATCTCGTGGTGGTTCTGTTGGTGATGCTGGTGGTGCATCTGACCGGGTTGTCAACCAACTGCTTACCGAGATGGACGGCATGACCTCAAAGAAGAACGTGTTCGTTATTGGTGCGACCAACCGACCTGAGCAGCTCGACAATGCTCTTTGCCGACCTGGACGTCTTGACACTTTGGTCTACGTCCCTCTTCCTGACGAGACATCGCGTGAATCGATCCTCAAGGCGCAATTACGCAAAACCCCTGTCGCAGCAGATGTCGATCTCAAATACATTGCCAGCAAAACGCATGGTTTCTCCGGTGCTGACTTGGGGTTCGTCACGCAACGCGCCGTCAAGCTTGCCATCAAGGAGTCGATCGCCGCGGATATCGAGAGACAGAAGGAACGCGAAGCTGCTGGTGAAGACGCTATGGACGCCGACGATATGGAAGATCCCGTTCCCGAGTTGACTCGACGACACTTTGAAGAGGCCATGCAAGCCGCACGGCGGTCGGTCAGCGATGTGGAGATTCGCCGCTACGAGGCCTTTGCTCAAGCCATGAAACAGAGCGGCGGCAGTGCGTTCTTCAAATTCCCTTCTGCTGGTCAAGAGGCTGATGCCGCAAATGGTACTGGCTTCGGTGATGCTGGTAATGACGACAGCTTGTACGACTAAGGTAGTGGAAATTCCGACGGAGCTCATTGATACTGAACTAGCTGGTTCGTTGGAGAGCACTATTCTGCACAGACATCAGGGCGCAAATAAAGTGAAAGGCGTCGAGAATCACACCCAGATGTAGTTCACCGTTTATGCATGGACGGACATGGATGCCGGACTGGTGCTCTTGATGGCCGTGCTTTGAGGAATGTCCATCAAATTCATCAAATGGCCTGGCAAATTTGTATTGTACCTTCAACCTAGACAGATGAGATTGCAGGCAAATAATAGAATGGTTGACTGAGAATTCCCGTATCCCTCTGCAAGCTTCCTCATGGGTGCAGTGCTTTAATGCAGCCTTGTGCAGCCTTGTGCATGATGATGTAAACTCGAGGAGGATCAAAGGCTTCCGGCGGCTGCCGCTCCCTGCGCTCCCTTCTGATTTCTCCTGCTCCAGCATGTTTAATTTCCCGCCCTTTTGCCGCCACCTCCATTCCTTTCTTCTCGCGTGACATTTGTCGACGGTGACAACAGTATCCCTTTTCATTCCTTTCTAGCAGTTTTGTTGACTATGGCGAACTATGGGATTTCGGCGCGTCTACTGCGCCTGGCCCGTCCAAAGGTATGACAAAGAGCCTCGAGCCTGGAGTTTCCGCTCTCAATGCTGACCCGCCCGAACAGCGATTCTTCTACACGATGACGCTCTCGACGGGCGCCAGTCTCATTACGCTCTCGATGCTTGTTAATAAACTTGCCGGCCTATACGGAATTCTGGCGCTGTTTACGGGCTATCATCTCTCGCCCTTCCAGCTGACCATGTACATCTACTCCACCATCGCACTCGTCCTTACCGCCTACCTCGCACAACACATTCGAAAACAATCACCCCTACAGTGTCTTGCGCTGGCTTGGTTCTACATCCTCGACAGTATCGTTAATGCCGCATATACTGCCGTCTTCGCCGCGACATGGTTCTTGGTGCTTGCACAACATGACGCGGGAAAGACGGATAAGCAGGGACCTGGCGCATCGACCATGGATCAAGTATCAGGGCTCACGGATCCTCAGCTCAATGTTTCAAGAGTGGAGGTCGTTGCTACACCCCAACCTCCCCTGGCGGGTTCTGGTCAGGATGCCGTTGCCGCTGGAGTACCAGCAACCAACGCTGCGAGCAGCGGAAGCAACAGCGCATTACAATCGGCCGTGCTGGACAGTCAAAACATGAATTCTGTGGGCGTCATCATCGCCATGTGGACCATTCGCGCGTATTTCTGTCTCATCATGCTCGCTTTCGCGCGTATGGTGATTCGACAGCATATCGCCTCCTCCGGTTCCAAAACCGGCATCGATTATACCGCTGCATCGACGAACCCCCATTTAGCAGAGAACCCCTTCTCTGAGAGCAGGCCGGAGGGAAAGGGCTGGCGGGGCAAATTCGGTCGATTTATGATCAGCATTGGCAGAAGTTACTGGTTGGGCAGTGACGAGGATGATAGCTGGATGTACGGCATGGGTGGGAAATTCCGAAAGAGCGGTGTTGCTGGCGAGGACAGTGGGTTCATGCTCAGTAAAATTGAGAGCGGACCTACCGAGAGGGAGAGGAGGAGACGATCGGGAACAGGACCCCCTGCGCCTGCCCCGGGTGTTGTTCCTGGTGTGCCTACGGTGGAGGGAGACAAGATGACGTTGCAGATCCCTCCGCAGAATGTGTGAGAACAGAAAGGAACCGAGTATGGAGATGATGAGCAAGTGCTACAGTTCGAGAAGATGAGGTCGCCCGAGGAATAGGGAGACCATCAACACGATGTATACAAACGGTGTCCGGGCGTTAGCAAAAGGGACGGTTTCGGCTGGCAGAGCGCATGCTGGTATGGCTCAAGACAATGGAGAGGAGTTTGAGGACGCATATCTATAGATCTAATGATGTTGAGCAGGTTGCGAAAGTCATGTATTTTCCGTCTAAGATCGTCGTGGTAGACAATGAAGGGTCGGGTTGCTTCCTGATCAACATGGACAGCGATTACCTTGGACATCTTCCATCTTCTTACAATTAGAAATATAGAAATCTGGTACGGACTACACCAGGGTAAGAGGGCTGAGGGTGAGAAGGGGATCTGTGACGGAGATCGAGATCGAGCTGGTTGATCGTCATTTGAATGTCATTCTGCCGGTTTTCGTGCGGTTGCATTTGTCATTTGATTCGTGGAGCCGAACCACATACCCAGTACAAGCCACCGATCAGCCTCACCAGCCGCAGCAGCTGCCAGGATCATTGCGAGAACCATCATGCTCAGCCTCATCGATTTCCTCGACGCCGCGGCAACGCTCATCACCAGCATTTGGAAAAGTCCCACCGTGACAGTATGGCCGAAACGATTCGCTCTCAGCTAGGCCAACCGGACACGCATTCTTTCGTCGGGGGATCACGAAGCAATAGCCACTGACTCAACCCTTATCTCGTGGACATGGAGAGGCGGAATGATATCTACAGCCGGATGCGAGCAAAAAGCAGCGCAAGCCATGGGCTCGCTATAGATGGCATCTATTCTATGGAATCTACAGTTTCTCGTCGGAGATAACTACCTTAAAGACGTTCCTACCATCTTTCGCCTTAACCTCATGGACGGTCTCAAACGCTTCCAGACTCTGTTCAAAAGGGAAAACATGGCTGATCAGAGATTTCATGTCGACGAGGCCCCTGTCAAGTAGTGATATGGCGTCCTCGAAGCAATTCGTAGTATATCTCCAGGTCCCTGCAACCATCACAGTTAGCCCACGAGGCTGTCCATGTCAAGACCGGGAAGTGAGTGGGAGAATTCTCACCTCGCACATTGAGCTGTTTAGAGCAAATGTCCATTATTGGAATCCGAGGCATCGGGCTGTTAAGAAGTCCGACTTGGACGTCTATTACGGAACGTTTCAGGTCAGTGGGAAAGCACTCTGGGCTTGGTCTCATATTGAATGCCGAAGATACTCACAGGTGCCTCCAGGCTTGCAGACATGGAGTCCGATCTGCATACACTCTTCAGCGCCCGCGGCTTCCACCACAACATCGAAACCACGGTAGAGCCCGTCGACAGAGCCTAAAATATGTTTGGCGACCCTGTTGGAGTATTCCTCCGTCGTCTCATTCAGGTGGCGTGGCGGGTTGACAAATGCTTGGTCAGCGCAATACGTCTTTGCGAACTCGGCTCGGTGGGGTTGCACCTCAAAGACAACTACTTTCCTTGCAGCATATCTGTGGGATTGTTGTTAGTGTGCATGCCTATTGTCTATTGCCTTACAAGGTCTGACTTACGCTTTAGCAACTGCTCCTAACAGCAACCCGATACATCCACCCCCAAGTATCAAGACGGTCTGGTGTGCCTTCAGTCCCGCTTGCCTGGTCATTTGGAGAGCGATGGCAAGAGGTTGTATCGCACCCGCTTCGACCCACGAGATTCTGGGCGTCAGGCGGGCCAGCGCAGTAACCGGGACAATCTTATAGGTGGTGAGCAATCCATCCTGCCGGCCGCCAGGTGCCGGAACACCGTAGTACTCGATTGAACTGCAAAGGTTGGAATAACCCGTCGTGCAGTCGTCACAACTGTGGTCATATTCAGTATGGTGCCACGCTTGTGATCTCAAAGTACACTTACGCTAGGCAGGGAAGAGCAGGTTTGATAGCGGCACGGTCACCGGGCGCCCACAACTGGACATCATCAGCGACCTGAACTACTTCACCAGCAGCTTCATGGCCGATAATGAACGGCTCCTTGATGATATCAGGGCCTGCGCGGCCTTCTTTCCAGAAATGTATCTGACGGACTCGGTCAACCTTTTACACAAAATTTCCGCTCGACATGGACGACTACTAACGTCTGAGCCACAGATGCCTCCGGCGCGCACGCGGACTAGGGCTTTGCCACTCGGAAGGGGTGAGCCTGGTTCGTATGGCGGACTATCTCGATACGAATCCAGCTTCAGAGGCCAGTCCTGGACAGAAATATCGTTGATCTTTGAGAGAATAACGGCACGGTTCTTGCCAACGTCAGCCTTGACTGCAACATCGTTTCCATTGCTCGTCGCGGAGGGAGCCATTGTTGGGAAAGATTGGGTGCCCTAGGTGCTTGAGAATGCGTGGAATGGTAACTGTCTGAAGGCGCCGCTGGTGGCTGAAAGGGCTTCCTCGACAAAAAAATGGTCTGCAGCTCTATGCTGTTCTCTACTCTATGGGTTTAGCCAGGGTCTGCGCTCTGTGACCACTTTCAAAGAGGGGAGCTGGATTTGTGGGAGGCCGAGGGGCGAGGCTGAAGTAGGAGCAGGCGACGTTGCCGCATCGCGTTAGCGCCAAGTTGGAGCGGGGAACGGAGGTATAAGATGGCGAGAATGGGACACCCGAGTGGGGAAAAAGGGGTTGGAGACGCATCCTTGACCTCGGGAGACACAGCCGCAACATCGCTGGCCTTGGATTGACGCATTCGTTCGACAATCGTTGGTACACTCGTAGTACGGAGTATGAACTCCGCGCCAGTGTGCTCACACTCCCGAGCACATTCGGGGAGTATCCCGCCTATGCGTGACGTTCCTTTGATCCTCCCTCCGCTGAGCCTCTGGCAATCCTTTGCAACAGGTTCTATCTTGTGATAGCCGTATATTCCTTTCCACCGTGTTCCGGGCCTAATTAACCTCTTCGAGAATGGGAACTGTCAAGAACTTCCTCGACGCTTGCCGGACAGGCGTCGCCCGCTGTTCGACAGCATGGGACTGTCCGACTGCCTTGCTATGCGAGAACATCTTTGAGTTGGTGCCCCGTGGTGCTGCAGATCAGTCCTCTTTCTGCAGGAGGCTTCACTAAGTGTTTGTTCTGCAAGACCGTAAGATCATCGTAAGACGGCTTCCAAAGTTCGGTGCCGTGCCAATGCATGGCTAAGGTTTGTCTTCGAGATGCGCACTTTGGACCGGTGGCTCCTGATTCGGCTTGTGAATGCGAAGGCACCAGAAGACATAGTCCTCGACGGGAAGGAAATTCTTCATGAAATGGTTGTATCGCAGTGCAAACAGACATATCACGCCTCCCACCAGGGCGTCCAAGATGAAATGATTTGCGGTCGCGACGATCGCGATCAAGATTGAGAAAGGGTACAAGAAGCCGACGATCTCGCAGCAAAGCTTGGGAAGAGAGGGGGCTCGGACTATGAAACCGGTATGGTTCGATTTGAGGAATGGCACGGCGGGTAGGCATACCCTATGTCTTCTGGCTGGGGGATTTAGAGGAAGTCGCATGATCGAGACTCCGACAAGAAGTGAATATCCGAAATGGAGCGAGGGCATTGCAGCTAAGCAGATTCAGCATTCTTTTTCAGACCGCAAAGTTGTACCTCCTACCTAGTTGATTGGTCCATTTTCTTGTGTTGAAAGCGCTGACGGCTCCATCACGCGCGTGGATCGTATCGATGAAGCCAAAGCTTCGCGCGAGCTCACCCATCTCCCCTGGTAATTTCGAGTCCCCCAACAGACGAGGGGGCATACATGGCCAACTGCTGAAGACGCAAAACGCAAATAGGTTGCAAAGCGCCAGAGCCCGACGTCTGGACTCGTAGAGTTCAGGGCCGGTAGAGCTGCGGACACGGTCAGGCGAGTTCGAATTGATATTCGATCGGTTCCGTGTTATGGCGAAATAGTACAAGCTGACCAAGAAAGTTATCGTTGCGGGGAGATGGACGAAGCTGTAGATCCGGTTGATCCACCACATCCACCCGGGATACTGGAGGAAAAACTGCTGGATGGTCAACTCCCAAAAAATGTGGAGACGCTGTTCTAATCGGATAACGGCCAGAGCATGATGGCAAGCGATGTCGATGGTCTTGTCGACCAATCTTATGGCCAATTGGCCGCGACCGAACTGGTAGACCTGCAAAGTGTATTAGTCGCCTATCTCACAACGGGGGAATGAGCCCCAACTGACGCCGTAGATGAGAGCCCAATAAATGATCTCGACCAAGAAAGGAAAGCGCAGAAGCACTCTGCTGAGCATTCTGTTCCGGAAGACAGCTGTATCTGGTGTTCGAATCGTCCTTTTGAGCCCGAACACAGACAGCTCTCTATGACGCCAATGCCTCTGTCGATCGGGATTGGGTAAAGGCGTAACCGATACGTCTCCGGTATCTATCAAGTCTAGAGACTCAAGTCCCATCTCATGACCAACATCTTCCACAAGATCGACGTAAGAGTTTTGACTTGTTTGTGTTGTGGGAGTGGTAAAATCTCGGTTGATCCATGCTCCGAGAAAGATGATGAGAGTTCCCCAGGAAGGCTCGCCAAGACCTAGAAACCCCATGATGTATTCTCCAGAATTTCGTGCTTCCTGATACTGTTGCGCACATCAACTGACTTCGTCAAAGGGTCGGGCAAGGGTGGATGTCCTCTCTCAATTGTCCTCCTGTGAGCCCCAAGCCTCTCTGTTCGATCGACGGCCCTCAATGAAATCCGTGGCAACCGTCCAAGATAAACCCCATGGAATTACCACCTTCAAGTGTATCTTCAAAATTCCAACTCTGGAATTGATTGGATGCAGCAGATGAGGGATTCGCTTAGCCAGATACCGCCCAAGGGACTAACAAAGGATCGCAAAAGGAAACATTGACGCAGCAGACAAGGACGACGTACGCAGCCGATATAAGAACGAAAGATATCTTGCAGAAGACAACAAACAGTGAGCGAGATCAAGTCCCAAGAATGGACGCAGGCGATCGAGGGGCACGCCTCGGCGACGGATTTGCCGGAAACACAGACATTTTGAGTTCGTGAGAGTGGCCTCTGGTGCCAGATTGATGATTCCCATTTCGACAAGCGAGGCTCCACGAGAAATGAAGATGAGCATCGGTGGGCACGCGACACAAGTCCACAAGAGATAAGATCCTGGCCAGGTCGACGGAATTGTAAGGCTCCGTGTGGCCCATGGGGCATAAGGCTCGACGGGCCATACCACGTCATCCGCAACCCAGGGAGTCCGACTGGATGAAAAAGCCGTGGAGCAGTGGATAGCAGGGCGCCCCATATCCGCCAGAGGAGCGGGCAGTGGATATTTGGATCCGAGATGTGAAGGGATTGGTTGAAGATGAAGAGAAAGGTTGGACAATGTCAAAGTCGTAAGAAATTATGCATTGAATGTCACATGATGGCGGTTGGCTTGGTGCCGCATGTGGTTTAGCGCAGCCAGCACACCAGCAACAACCTTCCTCCCATATTAAACTCGCCATCTCCCGCTCTCCATCCAGTACAAGGCCTTCCAATGACTTTGAGCTCGTTCCTCGAGTTCTGCAGAGTCCACCTTGCTGCTACTAGTGCTCCTTCATCTCAAAAATGCCTCTGTTGCCGCTTGCCCAAAAATTCGTCCAGCCGTGGCCGGGACTGGTCTTGCGCTGTCAGTGATTTCCGTCGTGCTGCAGAACTCGGCTGCTATCGGTGCTCTCTTCTGGCTAAATGCATTGCGTGCTATGACCCTAGTCTCCTTATTCGTGACGGTTCTTTGGACGGATCGTGGGACTTCTGGTTTGACTTGACGCTGGACGGGGATGGAGACGCAGCAGATGAGGACAATCTCCAGCTTGACATTTTCTCCCCTGGTTGTGAGTGTTACTCCTGTTCCGAAGGCTAATTCAGCACTCTCACTCGATTGCTCTGGGATTTGTTCTCAACAGCTCTTGGCTGGATTGATGATACGAGACCCGGTAAACGAGACTGATACAGCGGGATATCTAGCAGAGCGTCGGAGGCCGCCCGGTTCAAAGAAGACTCGACATCTGCTTCCTGGAGATACGTCCTCAGAAGCGACATTTAATACAATCCGGACTTGGATGACAGACTGTCTGGACAATCATCCGAACTGCCCCAAATCCCACGTTGGCAATGGTAGCTATACGCCGCCGCTGCCTAGGCGCCTCTTGGAGGTCGCGAATGGCAAGGTCGTGCTCCGTGAAGATGCTGGACAAAAGAGACATCCTTACGCATGCCTGAGCCACTGTTGGGGCCCTTCTCCCCGACGTCCTGAGAGCACTATTCTTAAGGCAAAACGAGCCACGATTGAAAAGCTCAAGGTCGAGGTATCATGGAAAGAGCTCACCAAAACTTTTCAAGATGCCATAGATATCTGTCGCCGGCTAGGCATCGATTTTCTGTGGATTGATGCACTGTGCATTCTCCAAGACAGCAATGACGATTGGTCTTTGAACGCTGCAGAGGTCGGCTCTATATACGAAAACGCTTTGATCACCATTGCCGCCTCCAAGTCCAAGGAAGGCTGCCAAGGTTGTTATAGTACCGCTGATCCCCGCTACCTGGCCCGCCTGGTTGATGGGAGCAACGATGTCTACGTTCGTTTAAAACCTCCAAGCTACCCCGTACACGAAGTCTACCTGGATCTAGAGAATTTCCCACTGCTGGACCGCGCCTGGGTATATCAAGAGATGCATTTGTCCGTTCGTGTGCTCCACTTTTGCTCCCAAGAGGTAATTTGGTCTTGTCGACGCATGAGGAGAAGTGAAAGCGGCGTCAGCGATGAAGAGGCGACAGACGAACTCGTGAATTTGACGGATTTGCACGGTTGGGATCCTTCGTGGAAGACGCTGGGCGAAAACGGGATGGAAAACCCAAGAGCTCTGTGGTATCGAACGGTGGAAGAGTACACGCGTCTGCATATTTCGTATCCGAGCGACATTTTCCCCGCATTGGCCGCTTTGACTCAAAGAATGCACAGGCTACGGCCTCAAGACATGTTTCTCGCAGGCCTCTGGAAAAATACTCTCCTCCTCGATCTGATGTGGCGGACTCCGGCGGGGCCACAGTTCGGAAGACCAGCAAAATGGAGGGCTCCGAGTTGGTCCTGGGCGTCTGTCCAAGTCAAGGTTGCCTGGGATCTGAGGTTAGCTTCCGTTTTCGGAGTGGTCGAGCTGTTGGATGTCCGTTGCGACACTAAGGGCCCGCCGGAGATGGGCAACTTCTCTGGCCGGGATGAAGTTGTAATTACCCTTCGTGCACCTCTTCTCAAGGCAACTTGGAAAAAGCCCTGGGTTCGGAGTCGGTGGCCAATTATCAGTAGAAGCACAGAAATGAAGGATGGCAAAATGGATGTGAACCGGTTCTATCCAGATTACGACTACGATTTACCAGGAGAACACCATATTTCATGGGATTCGGAGTTCTTTCTTGTGCCGATCGCGATATCGACAATGCTTCTTGACGAGGGTGACAGCGATGGACCAAAGAATAATGCGCACTTGGTGCTGGCTTTGCGAGCGAAAGAGAAAGTTGGCACCTATGAACGTCTCGGATACGTCGAAATTGTCGAAGACCATGTCTTTGCGGATTGGAGTCGCGAGGGGTTCCAAGCCAGGTTTGGCAGAGTGGACGCCATCCTGAGGGCTATTCCGCGACAGGTCATTACTGTCGTATGAGGGGGAGGATGGTTGGTTGTTCGTCAGGGTCTGGTTGCAAGCGTGATTGTAGACATACCTAGGTGGAGGCTGTCCTCGTTACTGGGTGTATTGTGTGATCTGTTTAAGGATGAAGCGACAATGATTGGTAGGATATTTTGCGCACAGTGATTGGCTCGAATGTCACCCTCTACAATATGTCTTTCTTCAGGGCTCGGCAATGGGATTTGTCCCTTTTTTAAAACCAGAAAGCGCCATCTCGTTCACCAACTTCCTCTCCCTCTTTTCTTCCCCTTCTCTCTTCGATGTCGCCTCCAGCAGTAGTGGCCGTCTCTGCCCCAGGAAAGGTCCTCTTCGCAGGTGGATTCCTGGTCCTGGACCGCCAACACACGGGTCTGGTGTTCGGTCTCAACGCCCGGATCCATGTGGTTGTCCAGCCGTGGCGAGCAGGCGACCTCCTGCCTGGCAGTTTGAACAGCGGACCGCACGTCCTGGTCCAGTCGCCCCAGTTTTGTGACGCCAGGTGGCTGTATCGGATCGACGGCTCTGCTGCTGGTAGTGGTGCGGTCACGGTCGAGCAAGTTCGAGATCACAAAGGGGCCGGATCATTCACCGCGAGCGCAAACAGATTCGTCGAGACGACGTTGAGGTACGCCCTGACTTATCTGTCGCATGTGTCGGGTGGTTCGCATCATGTCTTCGAGGAGAGCATCAAAGTGACGATATTGGCCGACGACGATTATTACTCGCAATCACAACCTCAGTCTCCTGAGCCATCGGCGGCCAAGTCAACGCGGTTTACGAGCTTCGGAGTCAAGCTGAGCGAGGCGCACAAGACTGGTTTGGGATCTTCGGCTGCACTGGTCACGGCGTTCGTGTCTGCACTGCTTGCATTCTACTCAAAAAGGGATGCCGCTGCTGCTGAAGAAATACCGCCAAATCATCAGACTATCCACAATTTGGCCCAGGCTGCACACTGCGCGGCCCAAGGGAAGGTCGGCTCAGGCTTTGATGTTGCTGCGGCAGTCTACGGCTCTTGCCTCTATCGAAGATTCACACCTTCAATCCTGGAGAATGTGGGCGAGCCTACAAGTGCCGGCTTCGGCGAACGATTACACCGCTGCGTGGACGATCTGGATTTAGACGCAAGATGGGACGTCGAAATTGCGAGCCGGGCAGTGCAGATTTCAGCGAGTCTTTCGCTGGTCATGTGCGACGTGGACTGTGGATCGGAGACACCGGGGATGGTCAAGAAGGTTCTGCAGTGGCGCAAAGAGAATATTGCGGAGGCGACGTTACTGTGGACTGCATTACAACAGGGTCAAGAGGAGCTGTGCCGAGAGTTGAGACGGCTGGTCGAGGTCCAAGGCATCGAGAATGATTTTACGGCATTGGGGGATATCATTCTCACCATTCGAAGTCTGGTGAGGGAAATGTCTGTCAAGTCCAAGGTGCCCATTGAGCCCCCTGTGATTACCGAGTTGTTGGATTTCTGCACGAGCTTGCCTGGCGTGGTGGGAGGAGTCGCCCCGGGCGCAGGAGGGTACGATGCCGTGTCTCTGCTGGTGAAGAATGATGGCGAATCCGTCAAGGGACTACAGGCCCGACTGAAAGGATGGAAGAGTCAAGATGCGAGCGGTGCAACCATTGGGCATGTCAGGTTGTTGGGGGTCAAGCAGGATAATGAGGGCATCCGGGTCGAGAACGTGGGCCAGTATGAGGTGTGGTTGTGAACTACATACTCCATAGCGATGTCGTCATCCTCGTGGCAAGCTACCAGCTCGCCAGGAAATAGGAACAGGAACAAGGGACAGGAACCAAAGACAGAGAATGGAGTGGGTGGTCTGATGGGTATGCAGAGAGGGCGGAGAGAGTCCGGGCTTGAGGTTGAGGGCGGGATGGCTCTCGTAATCATGGGCGACTCCTTGGTAGTTGCCCGGTTGGAGATTTCAGGCCTAAAGTTTCTCGCCAGGCACCAGAGGAGGCCCCAAAGCCCTTAGGGTTAACTAACTGATTTAACTGCAGGAGGCTGCCCCAGCACTTGCCCAGCAGCCCCAGCAGATCGGTCTACCAAGTAGGAGCCCCGACTTAGCACCTACCGGTAGAGAGTCCTCCAATAGGCATACAATAGGGGCTGGTGCGCCAGGGATAGGGGCCGCCAGGCAAGCGGCACCCCCTCGGAAATCCCACCTTCCTTCCCTGGGCCATTTGCCATTTGCCTGGGAATCCGTGCTTCCGTTTTCTCTCGTTCTTTGCCCGTGACCAAACAAGCAACGGCACCAACGAGCATATTAAGACTCAATATTCCCTCCCCCCAGATCTGCTGCCCGAGTGCATGAGCCATGGCTTGATCCGAGCCCATTGTGTGTCAGTTTCAAAATTCTCCGGGAGCCGTCCATTCCAGAAGGGAGGAAGGGCTGGCTGCGTGGTCTGGCCTCTTCGTGTTCGGCATCGCCTGCACGAGTTACTCTTGCGACACCCTCTGCTGCACACTTTATTGCCAGGCGCGCCCGGGCTCAGCTCGGAGTCTCTCTCAGCTCGCATCATCATCATTTCATCCTTGACTGTTTCGCTCCAGAAACTTGGCATGGTTTTCCCATTCTAGTCACCCGCTTGACCTGGACGGATTGACTGCTCTCTGGTCTCCACCACCAATTCTGTCGTCTCCCTCCTCTGTTCATACATCTGTAACCGGTTTTGTTTGCGCCTCAGATGAGGGGATGAGTCCCACTTCCAACAACAGCGCTTTCGACGACTCAAGCGCTCCCATCGTGGTCACTAGTTCGCTAGTAGCCCAAGATAGTCCTCGGTTGCAACTGCAATCTCGTGCGCAACAACACCACCTCTCCTCCACTGCACCCGTCGAGATGTCGAGCCTTTCTCCCGACCCTTCTGCCTCCCCCGATGCTCAACCGTCCTCTTCGTCTCCTGCAGAAACAACCACGTCCTCGCCTGCGCATGAGTCTCAACTGCCACAATCGCTCGGTCCGCAAAGAACCGACACGAACACCGCAATGATTCAGTCTATGAATCCACCTTCACCGTCTGCTGCAGTCGCCGAACCCCAGCAGAAAGTGTCAAGGCAGTTTTCTACCTCGATTGGCCCTTCCTCAGACGAGACGTCACCAACAGTTCCTGCCAAAGACGAAGCACCTGCACCAACCGCTATAGGGCCAGCGTTGACGGTGACCCTGCTCCTCACCTCAGGAGCACGGCATCCCTTCAAGCTAGACAACAAATATTTCGCCAAGCGCAACGTCGAGGTTCCGGAAAATGACCCGTTTAACCTCAGTGTCTACAAGCTGAAGGAATTGATTTTGCGCGAATGGCGGGAAGAGTGGGAGACAAAACCGTCCAGTCCGACATCTATCCGGCTGATAAGTATGGGCAAGCTATTGGATGATAAAGCCTCCCTAAAAGGTGAGCAAATACCTCTCGAGAGTAAGAGAAGACGAACAACCTCGTCAAGTGGTTCGTCGCTTGTTCGCTCCAGAACTGACTTCTTGCTAACCTTTGGCGCACATAACAGATTACAAGTTCTCCGTCGACGCACCGAATGTGCTGCACATGACAATCAAACCCCAAGACTATGTCGAAGAAGACGACGCCAAGGGCGGCAAATCCACATACTCAGCACACCGCGAGGGCGAGGGCAGAAGCCCCGGCTGTCGTTGCATCATCATGTGATGTCTCCGCCTCACTTAATCACAGATGCTATTGCCTAAATGCGATCCGAAGAGGCTATGTTATAAGATATGAATTGGTTTAGTACGAGTGAATAGGGAGACCCTGAACGAAGGTCACTGTGCGGCGGAAAGAGATTTTGGTCTCTGTTATTTGGACCAGCGAAGATCTCTGCACTCGTCCAAACGCGAGGGCGGTTCCTTCAGCTCCATCCCGACTTCTTGTGGATGACATCCTTTTTTTGGTCTTGAATTCATGGCATGGCGTTGGTGGAACAGACGGGATTTCGGCATGTTTTTAGTTGGACCGGGTCTGCGAAAGGCTGGAGGCGGATCTCCGTTATATTCCCACCATTCTATCTGCAACTCTTGCAGGTGGTCATTCTCGGGGTTTCTCAATGCCACGTGGATCAAAGAAGCAGGAGCGAAAGACGAAGGAGCCGGTGAGAAACTGGGGCCGAAGATCAAAGTTCTCTTTTCCAACGCAGTGACCGAAGCCATCTGAGACGAGTTACATTGCAGCACGAAATTCGAGACTTTGCTGTATATAGAAGGACGTGAACGGCTGTCGTGCCATGGACTTCATGCGTCATATGTGTAGCAGCCGAGATTTGGTGGACGAAGCTCTAGCCCAGGGGCCAGAGCAGGCAGGATCTTGCAGCATTGCAACGGAGTACATATTGCGCCAGGCACAAGGAATACACATCTTCTTGCGTCTCTTTCGTCATCGTCGAAGTCAATATCGATGCCGTTGACATCGACACAAGATGCCTTTCCTGTTGGGTTTCCTAAGGGCGTATCCATCTGTCGTTGGATGGATAGATGAAGGGATGGATGGATGATCGATTGAGGTCAGTTTGAGCAGCCTGCACGCCCGGCCTCGTTTTATTTTTCTTCTTTTGCTTTGGTATCCCTTCCTAGTACACCGTACTCCCGTACACCGAGCGGATTCTCCGCGCGAATGAAAATGGTATGCATGCTCTGCCAGGCCAGGCCGGTGCAGTGTTCAGTAATAATATGGAACGCGTTCTTCCCCTTTGCCACGTAATTCAGATCACCGCTGAGGGGAAGGCTCTAAGCGTGCCGTTTCCATTCTTCTTGTTCTTGTTCTCCTCCTTCTCGTCGAGCTGCAGCAGTGCCGGCTTACACGGGGCAACCAACCAGCCAATCCACCAAACCCGCCGCAGTCCCTCACTCACCACTTGCCCATCCCGACCTTTCGTTCCATCTCCTCCATCCACCCGACCCCATGTCCGTCGCCGCCCTGTCCGGCTAATCTCACCCCGTCCTGTCCGGCGTAGACGTCCTCCCAGCTAATCTCCATGTCCCGCCCCGTCAATATCTCCTCGTGCACGCCCGCCGGCCTGCCCAGCACGGAGGGCCGAAACGAGTCCGCCTCCCGCACCAGCTTGAGCTCCATGCCGCGGCGGAGCGGCTCTGCAATACCAAAGTTGCGGCGCAGGAGCTGTAGTCGCGTCGCCTCTTGTGTCGCTTGCCAGTTCGCCAGGCGGGATTCCAAAGGGTGCGTTGATGTGAGTGTTTGTGTGGTTTGGGAAGATTGGGGAGGAGGGTACAGCGAGGCCCGGAGCGTGTCATGCAAGCCGGGGGCCGAGGGCGCGCCGCGGTCGAGGTTGTCTTTGGATTTGGTGCTGGACGAGAGCTTCGAGGCTGTCGTGTTCGACGTGCTGGTTGGGTGCGTTGCTGGAGGGGCGACTCGGAGAGACTGGAGACAGACAGATCGTGGTATCGTCAGTAAATATATCTTTCCATGTGATTCCAGGACCTTTCTCCCTCGAAAATGGTATCTCAGAGCTGGGGTAGGTGTATTCTCTTCTAGGGGTACAACTCACCATGGCGGTCAGCGTGGAAATGGGACGTGGAGGATGGGATGAAATGGTTGAAGGCTCGAATGAGGCCTGGTGTCAAGTTCTCCAAAGTCGGGAGACACTGAAGTCTTGGTGGTCAAGGTAAATTCAGATTCGTCTAGGGACCAAACAGAATCTCTGTGAACGTTGTTTCAAGGGTGAGAAGGGAGGGAGGAGGCAGATACTTGTGCGCTTGTGGGTTGTAGGTAGAATCATTTAAATCTCATTGAAAGGTCGGGCCGCAGGCAACGCAACGGATGTCGCGTTCTTCGATACTGCACTACATAGCCGAAATGCTCCGCAGTCTCGTTTTGTACGGTAGAGTTTGGCACCTGTTGGTGCAGGTTTGCCCTGATCTAACCTCGCTAGGTATTTCACGCACGGCATGCAGTAATAATATGTTCATCTTTCCCATCTAAGGTATATCATTCATACATTCTAGCTAGGTACCGGGTATATGAAAGGTCGACACAGCTCTATCTCTACCCTCTATCCTTCATCCTCCATCCTCTATCATCCGAACGGTATGTCCAAGCTCCCCTCAAACAATACTGTCTCGTCGCCCCGTCCGGCCCTAGCTCTCGAACGATGCCTCTCGCAAGTCTCATGTTTATTCAACAAAGACAGACATTCTTTGGCTCCTCCTTCGCCGCCACACCTTCCCTTCCCACTCTATTCCTCTGACTACTCCTCTTTCTCCTCTCCTGTGCAACTCGTCGAGTACGCTGGGCTTTGGGAACCGTCAAAGGAACATCGTCCGCTATCGCAAGGCAGGCTAATCCTCCCCGTGGCCCAACTCCGTCAAAGAGGATTTCAGACTATAAGTCAATCTCTCCTCCGCCTTGAGGAGCGGATTGGGCGCGGTTTCGTCAAGCGGGGCTGATTCGGGGACCTCGTCGGAGCCGGTGGCGGGACGATGTGAGTTAGGCGTAAGGGTGGTGTCATCATGTTCCTCTTCCACACCAGGCTGTTCAAGTCGCTCCTGCATTTCCCGTTTGCCGTGATCAACATCCTTTGTCTCGTCGCCCACGTGCTCTTCCAACGGCTTCTTGACAATGTCATCCTTGACAAGGATGTTCGATTCATCAGGGATGATGGTTTCGGGCTCGTCCCTGGGAGGCAAGGTATCATCCTGGATCATAATGTCGGAACTTCCAATCTCTGCAAACTCCCCAACGTTCTCGCTCCTATCAGCTGACGTATCACTTCCCCCCATGTCTACAGCGGCGAGTGAATACGGTGCCAGTTCCAGGTGTGTACAGCCTAAAGCTAGGCACTTGATCCTTTGACCGAGTTGGCTTGGATTTCTCACTGGAGCTGCTGCAGCGAGCGACACGATTAGGGCCGAGACCGCAGCTAGTTTGTGGAATGCAACCATGGTGAAGATAGTTGCTCTCAGTTGTTGGAGTGATGACGTCTCAGGAATCGAGAGCCTTTGATCTGAAGAGTATGAACTTTGAAATGTCGGGATGTTGAAGCAGCACCGTTTCAACTTGTGGAATTTGCATAAAGGTCTCGTCTGAGATAATAACGGTGCAGGTGTGCAATAGCAATGCTGAAGACAAATTTTGAAAGCAGACCCGGGAGGGCTTATATGCTTTTGAAGGTCCTCCTTATCTAGAGAACCTTTGGATGTTGCGATTCGTGCTCCACTCCAGCCAGAGTTGTCCGACCTTGTGAGTTCATGGAATCCACGGGTTTCGATGGTTCCGCCCTCATACGTGTGCATGTATTGTTGGATTTGTTCGTGCTTGTGGCCTCAGCAGTCTCCGGATCCATGCATCTTGATCGGCTCGGCGAATCAGCAGCGATTCCTGTCTCAAAGACGCCAGCCTTGGCCACCATTGTTGTGTCAGAGCAGCAGCTAACAGCCAAAATATCTCTCTTCCATCCACCTCTTCTCATTGTCTTCGACAATTCTGGCAACCACCACCTTGATCTTGGGGAAAACCGTCATCAACCTCTTCAGACCCCGTCGCCCAGCCAGGCACGTGACGAAAACGATTTTTTCCTCAGCTGCCCCGTGATCAACCAAAACCTTGACAGCCATCAGAGCAGCTCCACCGCTAGACATCTGCGGATCCAGAAGCATGATTGTTTCATGCTCAGCAAGATCAGGGAACAGCTTGAGGTAGTGCAGTTCTGGTTCACCGGTGCGCATGTTGGATTGAATAAGTAGTCGGCCCGTCTGGCAATCTGGAATTGTTCGCTTGAGCCCGGTCTCCATACAGCTTCCGCCTCGAAGAATGACCACAGCAGAGACTATGCCAGCCGATTTGAGTCCAGAATATTTACAGCCTGTCGCAGTTATTATGTCCGTAGCGACATAGTGGTGGCAATCGAGCGCTTTCTCGATCAAGAGCGCGGTCAGCCTGTCAAAGTAGAAGACGAAATCGACCTGGTCAGTTATCGGGTTTCGTAGAATTGTTGATACTCCGACGACTTGTGGTGTTTCGCCGAGGACCATGACGTTTTCGGAGAAGGTGTAATCTTCACTGTGCTGGCCCAGTTTCTCCAACTCTGCGTTATGCCTAATGGACTTCTCCTTCAAGATCTGTCTGGTCTGGTTGACAATCATCTGAATGGCCATTTTGTTCTGCATACCTCGGGGTACTATGACGTCGGCAATCTCTCTTTGTGGGTCGACATATTTCTGGAAGACGGGCTTGACATATCTAAACCACTGCTTGATGACCCCTTCAATGGTTCGACCGCGTTCTCTGACATCACGGATGATCCGCCTCGACAGACACACATCTGGATCGGCTTCAACGAAGATCTTCATGTCCAGTAAGTCGAGAACGCGTGGATCGTGTAAAGCTAGGATGCCCTCGAGAAGCACAACGTGGGGTGAATATATCGAAACGGTCTTGTCTAACCTCTGGTGTTGCTGGAACGAGTAAATCGGTATGTCGGTCCTTTTGCCTTGTTTCAGGTCTATCAGTTTCTTCACGAGGAGATCAAAATCGATGGATTCCGGCGAGTCCAGGTCGTACTCGTTGCGATGCGCCATAGCATTTTGTTCCGGAGTTAACGACTTGTAGAATGAATCGATAGACAGGATGATGACCCAGGGGAGATTCAGAGATTGTACGATTTCCACGGCCAGACTTGTTTTGCCCGAACCGGAAGATCCAGCTATTCCGATAATGCTCATGTCGGCCCATGGTGGGGAGTAGTGTGCTTTCTGAGGTATCTCTCCAGCACCAGCAGCTTTTCCAGTTGACGCAAGGATTGAGAGATTTCTCAGATCTGTTCCATATGACATCTTGTTACTCAATTGCTAACCTAACGTCTCAAGGCAAGGAGTTTGCAAAGTGCACACGAGTTCAAAATCTCTCGGACAGGGTAGTTTTCTTTAGGGAAGAGCAAGACGATGATCTCTTTCAAATCTTAGAGCACAATGAGGAGCGAATTAAACCACATTGAACGACGTCAACGCCAGTCACCAGTCAAATGCAAATTGCTAAGAAGTTATCCTGAGGAATCTCTGGGGCATTTGGCTACGAAATGAATCGGGGAGAGCTGTATGAGATTGGTTTGTGCAAGCGCGAGACACGTTGGATATCGGAACGGAACAATGATGCTCCATTATGTGGGGGTGACATTCCACCAGAAGTTCTCCGCATTCGCTTTCACTACTGGGTACAGGGTACGGAGTCCCTTCCTTCCATCTCGCTCTCCCTGCCAACCATGTCTCCCTCTAAGCCGCTCTGATGGTCTGCGATGGACCTCAACAACCTGTCAGCAAACTGGAAGAAGCTGCAAGCGACGCTCAACAACAGGACAGGCAGCTCCTCCACAAAGTCCTTGTCAAAGCATGGAGTGAAACGCAAACGCGAAGACGTCCAGAATATCGCGTCCAAATCCCCCGCAGAACCCCCCCAAACTAGGAAGGGACCACTCATCCACAAGGCCATGGCTCTCGATGGCGACCATTCTACGAGACCATCGTCGATCCGAGAACTAGAAAATCGCGACAACCTTCCTCGTCCACGGCCTCCTCGTGAGCTATCGCAGAAGGTAAACGCGGGGCTGTCTCCCGAGTATGTTTACCCTTCCCCTCGAAGTGGCTTACCTGACACCCTCCTTAGGGTAGAAATCGGCAGGTATGTCGCCCTGGATTGCGAGATGGTCGGAGTTGGCCCGAACCCAGAGAGGGAATCCGCACTCGCTCGTGTCAGCATCGTCAATTACAATGGCGACCAAATCTACGATTCCTACGTTCTTCCACTTGAGACCGTCACGGACTACCGAACGCATATTAGTGGAATATCACACAATCACATGAAGACTGCCAGACAATTCAAGGAGGTACAAGTGGAAGTGGCAAAGATCCTAAAGGACAGGGTTATAGTTGGCCACGCCATACGGCATGATCTAGAAGCATTGATGATCGGCCATCCTCAACGAGATGTTCGGGATACAGCTCGCCATCCACCCTATCGAAAAATAGCAGGAGGTGGATCACCACGACTGAAAATCCTTGCTTCTGAATTGCTAGGTTTTGAGATCCAGCAGAGTGAACATTCAAGTGTCGAAGATGCCCAGGCTTGCATGCTACTGTTCAGAAAAGACAAAGCTGCTTTTGAACGAGAACATTCCAAGCGATGGCCGGCACAACCTCCTCCCGAAAGAAAACAGGATGCGGAAGACCAGACGAAACCTCGTAAACATAAGAAAAAAAGGAAGAAAAGAAAGCATTGACCGGAACAGCAACTGATCTGAAACAGACAATGGGCGTTTACTGCCAGGAGATGAAATATTACATTGGTATGTCCTCCATCGAACTTATGGTTTCTCCATACTGCCATCATGATCGTATCGGCCAATGTCCTGGTGTTACGTCTAGCATCACAGTAAACGAGATAGTACTCGAGAATTTCACATGCCCGCAGCTGGCAGCGCGGTGTACCATGAATACACTTGCCTTTATCTTGGGATTGCTAACGGCTCAAAGCTCGGGAGGTGACACGATAGGCCGTCTCCTAAACCGGTCATGTAGCAAAGCTGCCCTAGCGAGTTTCACTGTCTGAGATGTGGTCGGTAGCTTTGATTTCGCGTCGCAAATCGCCCTGTCTGACATCCTCATCTATGCTTCTTCCAGAACTTCGCCTCACGGTCCGTCTCGCAGTTGAAGGACTGGCTCCCAAATTGGGCAAGAGGAGGCAACTTCTGGGAAAGAAAGCTGTGAATATTCGTCCCTTACAGCACAATGAGCGACCGGCATTCAGTGGGACGTTTACAAGGGCATTCATGCGCCGGAAGACAATCAACAATGCTTTATGGCTAGTGGGCTGGCATCAAGCTTTGCGGACTGTGTAAAAGCATCACTTTCGTGATATAGTCAATGATACACGTACATCGTCATCGACACGTTACGCACTCTGTGTTGCACCACAAATTGATGCCCTGACTATCCAGAAGACTCGTTTCCTTTTGAACCTGCTCCAACCATATTACTAGCGAGCAGTATCGAGCTAGGGATACAATGGTTGAGGGTTGCTCCGAAGTTTGTCCGGGTTACGTAATTGGGATTTCGACGCGTCGTTCAATCGGTCAAGACGCGCCTCGGACTCGAATCTGAGCCTTCCAATCCAATCCTCCCTACGACAACCGGTGAGACTGCGTATTCTGCCATCTTTGAAAGCATCACTGGTCACTGGAAATGCTCGCCCTACAACGGACCGGAAATGCTGGAGATAAATGCACCGTCAACATCCTCCCTTGCCGCGTCCATCATAATGGGCCAACCAAAGTGACGAAGAGATATTGGTCGCCTCAGTTCGAGAAAGGTGTTTTCTTCAGTGTCTCGGCCTATACATTTTGAGCGTATACGTATACTAACTTTTGTACTGCAAGATGGTACGGCAACCTCCTACTTTCGAGGCCGCAGGCTACGGGGCAAAGTCATAAAATTACCCGCTGGATATCGAGGTACTATCTCCAAGCGAGATCCTCAAGGACGCCGAGGTTAATAGATTCGCAGGTACTGTTGCAAAGACCACCGATCGATATCTCCCGCAGCCTTGCAAATCACAGACCGGGCCCACATATACCGTAGTGGACGAAGACATTGAGATCGCCGATGATGAAGAAGAGCCTCCTGATCCAGTCAAGGTACTTGAAGAGTCGTCAACCTTCGAAGAAGTTATAGTTTGGGGTCATGACAGGGTGCCCACGAACGAAGACATCTTTGTGAAGGGGATTGCAGAATGGATCTCCTTTGCCGAGGCGATTCATGTCAATCCCACGAAAGACACCCAGCAGAACGATGCTGAGAATGAAAAAGAGAAGGATAATCGAGACACTTCTACGACGCCGCATACCTCGACATCCTAGCCACGGTGAACCTTCAGATAATACTGCTGCTTGGCTCTCGACCACTCCTCCTTCAGTCGAATGTATTCCTCCGATGCGATACACCGTCTCCAATAACCCTTGAAAATCTCGCTAGCCTCTTCTTTCTCCTTCCTCTTCCCACCTACATCCTCTCCGGTCCATTTTTCTAACTGCTTCCCACCGGCACCATATTTCCGGCCCGCTTTGTGGTTGGCATATCGACGGGCGCGTGTCATACCCATTTGGATGAATTTGCGAGTCATGTCCGCCCCGACCAAATCCCCTCGTTCGACGTACGATCCAAAGATCGACCACAAGAGCTCTGCTGATTTCTGTGCAATTGGCACGGTGCGAAAAGCCCAATAAGGCAAGATGAGGCTCTTGTATGGTTCAAAAGACAGGACACCCTTCTCTCCTCGTGCAACTTCGTACGAATATCGCAGTTGTGGATCCTCTAATGCCGGGGTTTCTAGTGGGAGACTTGGTGGCGCTAGACTTTCGACTGTTGTCTTGGGCATTGTTGTGGCGAAGAGTGGGAATCATCGTCAATGTAACACTCAGAAGTGGATTGGTGTCGCTGAAGAAAGGGGACAAAGGTGTCGGTTTCCCATGACGACATTCAGCTTAAATGACACCGCAGTTCGTCATTTTCCAACCACCCTGTGGCCTCCTGGGTGTCTGATCCGGTACGTTTCTATCAAATGTTTCTATTGCTTTCTCCTCTCCCTTGACCTAAATTTTAACCGACACTCGTCGCTGCGCTTAGGGACCCGAGATACTCAATACAGGGGCACTTGATACCAGGACCGCCCAGCGAAAATACCTCATCCGCACTTGAGAAACACAGGGCAATCTGTCAGATAAGGTTGCCGCACCCGCGCACCTCCTCCCTCTATGGCCAGCCGTTACTTACGGCTCGATTTTTTCGACGATCAACGCAACAGGTCCGAGTTGCTCGTTCGTGAGGCATCCTGGATCCACAAGCACTTGTCTAATGAAGACGCGGATTTTGCAAGAATCGAGACTCCCATTTAAAAATTATCTTGGACTGCGCCAAGGATTTTTGTAACCCGGGAATCCGTCAAATGTTATGCATGAGATTGTTGAACCGGTGTCTTCAGAAAGACATGTACGAGCGAACCGACCAGGGTACGCCATTTGAGAAAATTTACTCCCATCTTCGAACTCACCTGAAATAATGCCATTCTTTTCTTCTCTCCGACTGCATTACATCGGTAGCATTGCAGTGCATGATCGGGGCCCAGTCTAAACTGCGGACCAGGCTGTACAGAAAATCGAAACCCACAAATAAGGAGGCAACAAGCGTTGATTCGGATGATCATTCACCAGGGGCTTAAGTAATTTATGCAAGCCCCAAATAAGCAGTCTTTGGACAACAAAAGTCATTGAGCTCTCTACCGCCCCCTTTACGCTATTCTTCGAAGAGTCTTACCGATTACTCAAGCCTCTTCGACAGACTTTTACCTTTGTCCCATACACACCCATTTTCGACGTTCAGACGCCGAAGAGAGCCAATAGTTACAACAATCAACCACTAAACATGCACACATGGCCCTGCTCAGCAGGCAGGCTCGGCAATTCACATCACACTATTCAACGGTATGATGCTAGATAGCCGTTGCCTGCGTGCTTGGTTGCTCGCTTCAGGACCAGTGTTAATAAGCACTCGCACTCTGCGAAGTCAGCGGAGCTTGATTGTCTTCACTTGCTCGGCCAATCAGACCCCTAGTCAGGCTTCCTAATAGGGAACCGGCACTACAGTTATAGCGTCGCAGACTTGAAGCATTTGGGGAGCATTGGGAGCAATAACCCCACAATCATGCTCGGGTTGAGCCTGGCTTCTGCAGACTTCCTCGCTTTCACACGGTGAGCTGGGTGAAAACTGCTTTTGTAAGCACAGACCCTTTCCTGGATTCGTTCAGGGACGACCGACCCGAAGTTTTGGTGTGAGGAAGTGCGAAATTGTCTGCCCAAGGCAGCATGATTATGAGTCGAAAATTGCCCCGAAAGCAGTTCGTGGATTTTTCCTCCCTGGGATGACTTCGATGGAGTCACGTTACTGGAGGTAAGCGAAGTTATTGCAACCGTACAGATTGTACTGATATCACCTAAGTGGATATAGCTTGCTTATGAAATGGTTGTTACTCAAATTATGAATTCCCGTCTGGATGACTCTGCCTCGCCTAATTCATATCTGAAAGTCTCGAACTCGAGAATACAATCGAATTACACACAATCGAAGTTTTCTGCGCAATGCCGGGTGCTGACTAAGAATACTCGTCAAGCTATCAGGAGATTCGCCCCATGGGTCGAATAACTCGTTGTTGATTCGAGAAGCCTAACTCCAAACCTATCAGAGTCACCCTGCGCGCGAAGAACCACTCGAGGGCCATGCACAGGAGCGAAGGTGTACTCAACCATCTGCAAGGACAAGACAGTATCGGACGAGCGGTTTTAGTGGCGGTCCCTCTAATCATGGTGTATACGATCTTTCTCGTACATTCCAATACAGTTCTGAGGGTAGTGGCAACGTGAAATTTGGACTTTCAAGCATCCAGCCACCCGGCTCATCCATGTCGTTTACATTTGTGCTTTTCATCTCCCTGAGGAGCTGATTCTCTGCCTCCAACTGGAGAATCATGGCCTTGAGTCGTTTGATCGTGTCGAGAAGCTCGCGGTTGTGACGATTCAGGGTCCGCAGCTGCGACTGATGCTCGGCCAAGGTCGATGATGCAGATTTCAGCTGGGCTTCTCTGCGTGCTCGATATGCTCGCTGGGCTTTTCTATTCTGAGCCCGTCGTCGCTTGGTGACTATGTCAGCTGGTACATCTCGGCCTCATCGCTTTGGTCACACCTACCTCACCTCGAGTTTGAACCACGTCGCATTCCCTACCATACTGGTCCACAATAATATGTACACCACTCAGCGTATGACTTCGCCTTGCCGCCAATATCGGAGGGCTTCCGCCTTGGGGAGTGGACTCTCCCGGTGTCAAGGCTGCGAAGGGCCTTGTTTCGGAGGAAAACGATGTCTGCATAGGCGACTTCAAGAAGAAAGAAGCGTCAGATTATGCCGTACGGCAGGACGCGAAGAACAAACCCACCTCATCCCATTCAGACCCCTCGACCGCGCAAGTTTGGTCAAAATCTGGCGTCGCATACCCCTTCGATGACTTGAAGTTATCAATATGGTGAGAGGGAGGCTTGAGTCGGATGACTTGGGCGCATATCGACGGTGAGGAAAGAGAATCCATGCTTCAAGACTGCAGGTTTCTGAGGGTTTGAATTTTATGACGCTTTTGTTATGATTCTATACTTGATGTCGCGGTCGGGGCGGTGTACTACCTATAGACAGCCTACAGGCTGTGATAAGTGATTAGGCTGAAAATGGTGTTTGGACAGGGGGCATTGCTAGTTTATAATACACGAATCACTAGGACAGCTTCAGTTCTTGTGCCCTCAAAGACTACCCTAACGTGCCTTGGCAAGAATAGGGTGGCGAGAATATACCTGGTCACACCATACCAAGTACGAGCCCAGTATCAATAAAGCCGAATACCACTAGCAAATGACCATGCATTCGAGCGGTGTTCGAGGTCAGGTTCCATCGATCATTTACTCAAGAGGGACAGCCCGTGCGAGCCACCGGGCCACGACCATGATCCGTGTTCGTTACGGGGTCTGGAACGGTTAAAGTGGCATGTGGCTTCGTCAAGGCCTACTGGCGAGGCTCGCTGGCTAAGCGAGACCCTCTATTGCTGAAAAACTTACTGCCTGATCAGGACTAGCCCAAGATGACGACAAGGCTAGCCCCGAAGGTGGGTCTGGCATTCCTCCAAGCCCTCTGACCTTACGAGCTTGTTCAAACGCGCCAGTGCGTTTACTCATGGCCCGTCTTTACGAGTGAAAAACTGCATCATCGCCAGGACGGCCGTCGCTGAACCTCCTACGGTTGGCTCCATCCAGCCTTTTACAGGGCACAAAAGTTATAGACATTACAAGCATGAATTCCCGTAAACGTCCCCGACAATTGAGAAGCCTTCATCTATCTAAACCCGGCCTTAGACGGACTCGCGGATAATAGTTGTGGTCTCGCCCCTCCTATCGAAATCGTTATTTTCCAAAGCTCGCAGAGACCTCAGCTTCATTCTTGTCTCGTTGAGTGACTAATAATTGAGGTTATCATGTCTGCTCGTCCCTCATGCAAATGGCCTTTGCAGCCTGTTCGCTTACGGCACCAAATACTCACTAGGCGGCGGGTGAAGACAGTAGCCCGTAGAGTGACAATATGCCTTATCAACCAGGATTGTCTGTTGTACCTATCCCGCACAGTTCCAAGACAGAGAATGTCGTAAACAGGCCGAGTCATATGTATCTGCGAGAGCATACTGAGTTGAAGAACGGGCACGTCTGGGCATCCAGCTTGGCAGTTCCCGACAGGCCTGAAGGGAAAGGGCGGAAGAGGCTCAGCAGGAGCTAGCGAAGAAGCCTGTTCGTTCAGTCTTGGGCTCGTCAACTGTAAGCCTCCAATATGACATCTTGCCTCTGACATGGTTCTGCGATTTGACGGCATACAACCATTCCGTAGCCAGCGTTCAGAACCCAAGCACCGGCCGAGGAGCGATGGAGGATCATTGTCGAACAGTGATCTAATCCTACTGCTGCCAGGAACATAGCAATAGAGGGAAACAACTCCGCTCTGAAAAGTAACCACAACGAAGCGCCTCACACTTTCCTGGGACACCGCTCCTCCTCACACCGATAGACGCTCTCCCAGGGATTCTGCATCGACGTTGACAGCGGTTTGCTACGGCAAATGAGTCCAGCAAGTCAATCGTCAGTATGTCTCTTTGATGGCTTAAGTGGCCTTTTCGGTTACATAGATAGACGCAGTACGCAGACCATTTAGTGGATTAGGCCCATAACGGACCTTCTCCAGAATTGTTTCGATTCCGTTCCCGGCCTGCATGGCTGGCTGGCTGGCTGGCTTCAAGCTTGCCATGGATGGTTTGCCACAGCTATCGCTATATTGAGTGTCATCTTGTAGTTAGACAGGTGTGCGCGTAACCCAGCTACCTCGTCTTCCTTGAAGACGAGTTTGACCTTGTTCATGTGCCAAGGTCATATTCCCATTGTCTTCTGGCCGCATCAGGCTCTTCAGAGTTGGCTCGCTTGAGGAGTTTACTTCCGGACGGCGTGGAATGTTGTGGCTCTGACTTCGACGCTCGATCATGTTTAACGAATTTCTTGACAATTCTCTGCAGGGCTTTCAAAACTTTCACACAATCCTCCAAGAGTCCATTCGGGTCGGCAAGCGCAGCTGGATGGAGAACATTGGGGCAGAGGTCATGTTCCTGTAGGTAGGTCTCGAGCGTTCCAAGGACAGTATAGAAGGCTTTAAGATCTTGAGAGAGGTAGAGGAGGTGTTTAGGAGCCTGGTTGATCTCGTCGATCGTCCGGTAAAGTCCGCCGCAAAGCTTATAGGCGTTTGTCACCAAAGTCACGACAGCGGTTGCAATTGCCAACGGTTCCGGCATTGCTGCAGTCTACCAGTTAGCATCGTCAAGAGCATGTATCTGATACCTTTGTCAAAGGGCTCAATCTTGGCCACAGTAAGCTTCGATAGGCATCAGTATGCCCATACTTCCTCGGGTCGTACAAAGGACGCCTTTTCTGCCTGATGCGCAGCCTGTGCATGATCGCTAACGAGATAGGACAGCGCACAATTTGTGAGGATTGGGCAGGCCATTGAGCCGTCAAGGGGACGAGCTGAGAGGATAGGCTCGCAGGGCTTACAGGCGAGCGCGGCAGGGCAGGGCGGTAAGGCGGGTTATTTCTCGGAACATATTGAGGTACGTATTTGGCAAGTCAGGCGAACGACGATGGTGTCTCAACGTTCAAGCCGTTTCGGCGCGAGCCTTGTCTTGCCTTGTCGCCGAGTCGCCTTGCACACTTCAACGCAAATGTCAGTCGCCATCCGAATTCTTATCTCAGGCCGGATTGTTTGACATGAATTGCTCCGAACTACTAGTTAAAAAGCTTGACCGTGGCCCACTAATTAAACCACCCTCTCCTCTCGTATTGAAAACATCTGCAAACCCCACAGCTGGAGCATTGGCACCACAGCCGAGGCTCAGTTTGGAGACTCCAAGGCGTCTACCAATCAAGACCATCAGCATGTACCGAGGACTGTGGATGGGGGAGAGACTGACTGACTCTGCCTCTTCTAGATAGCCTTTACCCTAAGGCCAATGCACAAATTGCGTGCCTGCTTGTGAAAAATGGCTTTTCTTTCAAGACGCAGAGGCGTCTCTAGATTTCCGTATCACTACACCTCCCATGATGCCCAAGGCAGAAGGCGATACCGAGTTTTCTCAAATCGAATGCCACGACCATGCCCTCAGCGGGGTTGCGCCGGATGGCAATGTCGAATTGCCGGACAAGGGGGTCGAGGTCCCCGTGGCAGGGACCCCTTTAGCTCCCAACCTAGTACCGCTGATGGAGTTGGAGAGAGGCGTCGTTGGCTGGGATTCGGTCGATGACCCTACCAATCCCAAGTGAGCGTATACATTCGACCGCTGTTGGATCACTTGTTGACTAGAGTTCGAGGAATTGGAAACGGAAGAAGAGAGCCTTCTTGATGTTTCAGATGGCTGTCCTGGCAACCATCAGGTGTGCTTCCTGACACAGAATGAGTCTGTGCTGGCAATGGCCAAGCAGCTTGCTTACCTGAACCTGCAGTCCCATGGCCTCCTCACTGTGCGCTCCATCCATCGAGAGTACGATGGAGGACTTGCATGAGCCATCTCGTGTGCTTGGATCTCTTATGATCACCATCTACGTTCTCGGATATGCAATAGGCCCCCTATTCCTGGCCCCTCTATCCGAAATTTACGGCCGATATCCTGTGGTTATGATATCTTCTTGGATGTTGGTGGCCTGGCTCCTAGGGTGCAGCTTCGCGCCTAACATGCCGAGTCTTATCATCATGCGTTTCCTAGCCGGAGTTGGCGGATCGGCTATCATCACTATCTCACCGGCTGTTGTGGGAGATCTGTATCCTGTCGAAAGGCGAGCATTTGGTTCGGCGATCATTGTAGGCAGCCAATCTCTGGGTCCTATCAGTAAGGAACAAACTTCGATCATTGTTTTTTTTTTTTTTTTTTTTTT